CTGGAAGCGGTCCGGCTGAAAAGCAATCTTCTCAAAGGCGTACAAGCCGATGCGCGGCACTTTGAGCCAGCTTGCCATCATCTCCTCGGCCTCCTGAATTGCTAAGTGTCATAAGTATATATGCTTTTTGTATGAGACCCTCAGCAGAAAAGAGTTCCGGTATGCGTGTTAAGCTTTATGCCAACTGAATCCTGAATCCTGACCCATGAGATTTCAGCGGAAGAGCCATGACAAAGTCATGACAAGGACAAAGGACTCCGCGGAAGAGTGGAACCTTACGGGTTGCCTTTGTCAGAAGCCCCCCCCAAAATGCAACGACAGTATAAATGTATAGTGAAGCTAAATCAGTCTTAAAGAATCTTGCAGGAAATGCAAGGTGGACAAAGTGTTTGTTCAAGATAAAAACATATTTGGGAAGGTGACCAACTCTCACAGACAATGTAAATCAACCTGTATATGTTGGACCGTGATGAAAACTCACGAAAATTGCAAGGCGAACAACTATAGTTCTAGTCCCTTTCTAGTCTAGTCTCTTGTTTCTTCATGTTGCACAAAACTAAACCCACCTATAAATACAAAATACCATTGCATTTTCCTGCACCACCCCTGACTTGTGCCATGTGCATCCTGCATGAAGGACTTCTCCCGTTCAACCCCTTGTTGGATCTGGATCACAAAGCCCTGAGTCGCCATAACCTTCGCCAAGTTCTCGTTGAAGGTGAGAAGCCACCGGTCGTTGGTCTTCTGCTCGATCTGCATTTGCTTGCACCTCAGTGGTTCCAAGTCGCCAGCCGTTGCCTTCTGCATTGGCTTCTGCGTTTTCCCATGTGTTTTGCGTCAATATGCGAGTTCTCCACGCGAGAACCGAACTCTCCCGCAGGATTGTGCGCATGTGTTTGTTCACCCCGTTTCAACAGGGCGCCAAGGACAGATGCACTGTCAACAATCTTTCAACAGCTCAGCTTCGCACAGTTCGGCATTGTCTGTGTTAGGGTTGTACACCGAGCACCCTGCTCGTTCCAGGCCCTCCTTCACCTTGAGGGAGATGCTGTACCATGGTTCCTGGAAGATGGGAAACACAGAACGCACTATAGGATAACAAGTGGATGGCATATCATAGGCTCCCTCCTCATGCCATTGACTCGTTATCCCCTAATTATAATCAAGATGCAGCGGTTGGCTCAACACGACACCCACCGCCTTAAAGAAGTAGACCTCTTCACCTCTCTTCACCTCTTCACCTTTCTTCACCTCTCTCCGCTCTCTTCCTTTGGAAGGCTGAACTTGGCTTTCACAGCGCCAGTTTGGTGGCTTCAGAGTGACAAAGGTAAAACGATATTCAACGTCTTCGTCTCCACCAACTCAGCTCCTCGAATTTGGTGGAGATCACCACGTGCGGCCGGGTCCCGGCCGCGACCGCGGTTCCGCCCGCGTAGCCAGCGTGAGCAGCCCCGGACGACATGGAGGCGGGCGGTCCGAGCTGCCTCCGGGACCCAGGCGGTCCGAGCCGAGGGCTGAAGGAGGTGAAGGAGGATCGAAGCGGAAGAAGCTGAGAAGAAGCACCCGAGAACTCCAAGGAGGTCTCCATATATCACATCAAATCAAATACATTCAAATACTAGAATGATTTACATCTCTAGTCTCTAGCTATCTCTAGCTCTACATCTTTGCATCTCGATATCAGAAATCTCCCCAACCAACATCCAAAACTCTTCCAAGAAAAAAGCCGGGCAACCAAAAAGGAACTTAGAACTTATAGAACTTCCACAGCTGCTTAGAACTCGAACCACCATCTTCCAACTTCCCGTCCACCTCCGCCAACCCCCCGTCCGCCCCCCCCCGCCTCGGCGAATCCCGCCGTCCCACCCGGCGCTTCAGCGGTCGCGGCGCTTCACCTGGTCGGGCGGCTCGGCTCGTGCGTGGCGTCGTCCCCGGGCGGGTTCGGGCGGGCTCGGCGCTGCCGTTCGGCTCCTTTGAGGGCTTTTTTCTTCGGAGGTCGTTCAAGAGGCTTGAAGAACCAGGTTCCTTTGAGGTTTTTCTTTCAAACCATGCTTTGGAACGTCCAGGCCAACGGCCTAACTGCGCCAAGAGGTGGTTGACGCTCCCCTTTGCTTTTGGACTTCGGGGGGGGGTCGGAAGAAAACGGATGTGGTTGACTTCGGGTCGGATGTTGCAACGCGCGGTCTCCTAAAGGTTTGATGTGCTTTTTACAATGTGTGTCTTTGTGCTTGTTTCAGGGTCAGATTGCACTTAAGACTAAGGTACTAAGGTCTAAAAAACTTCGTGGTCGCATGGGGTTCTTATCACATTCGCCTTTTTTGTTGGATGTATATCCTTCCTTAGACTCAGCCTTGCCCCACACTCCGTCACTTCGGGGGTGCTTGTTTCTGGCCCTTGGTTCCCGAGGGCCCACGCGAAACCAAAAATGAAGAAAACACATGGCTTTTGAGGAGGTCTTTTGAAGTCGAATCGTTCAGGTCTGCAAACCTCGCAAAAAGAACATTCCTCACCTCCCGTTCCCCCCCTCCTCCGTGCCGCGCCCCAACTCCTCCACTTCGATCCTCGCACCTCCAACCGACTCGATGGACTTCGACGCAGCGGCGGATTGGTGGGAAGCTGCGGAGCTGGGAAGCTGCGGCCTGGAACAGGAGCCGTTTGTGTGAGGACCAGTTTGTCAGCTTTGGTGGGCCATGGAACATGAATCAGTGAGTATATGATATTGATATGGTCATATAAATGCACACTATGTTATGCTTCAAAGATTTCCATCATGATTTACAGTACATGCACAGCAACAAAAAGTGGAGGTGTGCAAAAATTTACAGTACATGATCTAGCTTGCGCAGGTTGACCCCAACATCTACCCAACTTGACCAGCCTGCTGTGTTGCAAAACATCGAGCCACCCTGCACACAGGCTGCGAGGGGGTTGGTGTGTTTCTTCAAGAAAGTGGGATGTTTTGAAGTGGATGTCTTACAGCAGTAATGCTTTGTTTGGAGGGGATCGGTCGATCGGTTTTGACACTTCAGATACATCCCACAGGTTCCAAACCGGTTCAGGCACCCAAACACAACCAAACACGCCCAAACTCACCCGTTCAACCCGTTCCGGGATGCATTTCGATGGAAAAAAACAAATCCAGTCGAGCAAGTCGGATCCATTTCCACAGACTTTCAAGGACAAAACACAGTGGACAGAGGTGGGCGGTTAGGGTTCCTTTGCAAATAAAATATCCACAGACTTTGGAGGATCCTTGTTGCTCCCTTCCTTTTCCCCCAAATGAATGAGCCCCATAATGCCATAGATCTGGCAATTGGCCACTCGAAATCAGGGTCTCTAATGGTTCCTGGCTGGACACCTCATTTTTGGGGATCGGTCGTACCAAAACACACCAAAACACACCACTCAGGTCGGAGGTCAAGTCAGACTCAGCTTTGCACCTGTCTCGGTCTCCACCATCGCCGGAGCACCCACCACCTCCGTCGGAGGCACCTCGGGGGCTCTCTCAATCACAAAGCACTTCAGAAAAGACACCCCCCTTGGGCGATTCGGCCAAAGAGAGATCGAAAAAGATTCGAAACATCCAAAACAAA